AATAAGGATGTTCAAGGAAGCAGGAGGCTCCGTTTCTTCTCACATGTGCGTTTAGCAGATAAACGCATCATCCACGTGTTCAACGGCACGTGGACCCGCATAAGCCGAGTTCTGCTTGCATCGTTCTGAAGCACTCGATCTTTTTCTGGAACATCTGTGTGCCATGTTAGCCAAAGAGACCATTTTTTTCCTGTCTCATTATTTGAGGAAGGTGATATTATTCAGTGCCAGAATCATATGCACTTTGCTTCGTTTCTATATAATTTGCTTCGAACTCAAGTGTTTTAATTCCCCCCTACACTTTCAATAACCCTGGAGACACTTTTTCCTACGAGTCATACATACACAGCAGGAAAAGCGCTGTTGGGCTGCAGGTTAGCGCTCAGACTGAAAATGTACGGGACCAGGAGATGGGAAATGAGCTAGAATGCGGGCGATTCGTGGGACCGTGTTTTTAAGGTGAGAGGCACAAGCAGGAACAAGAGGGCTTGGCCCCTTGTTTGGAAGTGTTTGGCCCCCTCCACTGAAGGTGGGGTTTCCTCGGCCTTCCTGGGCTGGGGTTTCGAAGGCCCCCCTCACAGGCGAGCGGTTCTCACCAGGCCCCTCCTCCATGCGAATTCTATTTCGACCGCCAGCCTCGCCCCTCCACGTGGCCTCTCCGCAAGCCCCCGGCCCTGCCCAGTTTCCCGCCTCGGAAACCATCTGCATGTTTCCAGGTCATCTCACTGTCCCCACCTAGGCATGCTGACAATGTCTCCTACCTGGGCCCCAGGTTCGGTGACCACACGGCAGGAGTGACAGGCCGCCTGCGCGCCTACCCTGGCTCCCTCCCTCGCTCCATCTACCTCCCCTCCCTTCAGCAGGTTTTGTGTCCTTCAGGAGGAAAAATGGGACAGTCTGGACCTCAGACGCCCTTGCGCTGCAGCGGCCCCATCTTCTCCCAACTTTGAGGGCAGCGTGGCTTGTTTGTAGGATCGTGGCTGGTCCTCCCCCCATCCCAGCTCACTCCTCTGCTCCAGACCGATGGTACCGAGAAGGGGCGCCCTCGTCAATGGCCTCCACCTCCCAAATGGTGTCCCTGAGTCCCCAGGCTCCTTAGCCTAATGCTCCTGCTTCCACCACCCAGGTGCTCTGCCTGCTCTTCTCAGCCTCTCTACCCAGTTCCTTCTGGACCGCTTGGTGCGGGTCCGTGTCCTGCCTCCCCAGGGACATCACGAGCAGCTTACAGGAAGTTCGCCTGGCTCCGTGCTGGACACATAATAATAGCATATGAAGTAACGAGATTCCATCAGACATTTTCATGTGGGTTGATTACCCTCAGAGAAGTGGATCTGAGTGGGCTGGTGCGAGATTCGGAAAACAGTATGTCTGCAGCAACTTGAAGTAATAGGGACCACAGACGGATTTCCGTTTTTGTTGACAGGTGGTGCCTGTTTGGTGCACTAGACTGGGAAGCGTTCTACGGCTTTCTGTCTCTAGGCTTGGTGAGAAATAACGTCTCGATAGGCAGGTTATTGACATCCACCCGGATGCAGCAGCAGACACTGGCGGCACCGCCCTGTTCCCTGTTTGCCATTTCTTCCTGAGGATTCCCAGGGCTGATCAGCCGCAGTGCAGGGCTTTGAAGTTGTTGGCCCGGGGGGCTGGTGGCCCGAAGCCAGGGCTGCAAAAAGACACCTGAGCTCCCAGGAGTAGAGAACGGAGCCCTCAGGAAGTCACGATCAGCCTGGGGCAGAATTGGGTCACCGGAAAAGGTGATCTACACAGTTCAGTGAAGCCAAAGAGGATGGCTAATCTGTGGCCACTGACAGGGACATGCTAGGAGCATTTCAAGCTGGGGCAGAGGAGCGGACCCCCTGGGAGACAGGGTACACAGGCTTGGGAATGAGAACCGAGAAGCTGACTGTTTGGCCCAATTTGTAAAGTTGCCTCTATCGATGAAATAATTTAAATGACAGGGTGGTTTTCGAGCTCCGTCCAGGGTCGGGGAGCAGCAGCCAGAGTGGACATTTTCAGGCCATAACAATACGGGAACTTCCAAAATGGGACTGTATTTCCATAATGTGGAGGCAGAGGGACAAGCCACACAAATGTGAGATAACCAGCCCTGTGACCCACAAGGAATGAGGCGTGTGGCCCCAGCTGGCCCAGCATCTGAAAACGGTTTAGAGCAGTAAGTGAGTAAAACCAATCAAATGCCCCTTTTTCCAGCTGTCTGAGCAGCATCCAGAAGACAGACTAAGAGTTTGAATAGTTGACTCCTCCTGCGAATAAGTCCAAGCTTTTCTACTCTCCCATTCTCTTCTATTCATCGATTTCTTTTTTTCCGATCATTCATTCAATGACTGTTTTTTGAACATGTACCGCGTGCCAGGGAAAGTCGAAGGGGCAGTTTCTCTACCTGGCCAGGTGTTCAGGAGCATCTTCGAGCTTATTTTCCTTGCTGTCCAAGTACATCAACACAGGAAGTAAACACACACGTACACACATACACACGCCCCTCGGCACCCACAGCCTGTTTTCTTGGCAGTGGTTATTTTGGAAAAACAAACAAGCTGTCTAGAATTAAATTTAAGATTTCCTTGTAGGAGAAAAAAAAAAAAAAGCAAAGCTGTTGCCTTGGTCCGTGGAGGAAATGTCATCACTTCATTCCACTTAGCAGTCTGAGAAGTCCAGGAACACCATAAAAACTCATCAGCTGGAGAAGAGCCAGAGGCAGGCAAATTTTCACTTTTTTAAGAGTATTTTTAATCAAAGTATAAAGTATATACGGAAAAGCACACCAACCTTACGTAAACAGCAGTGAATTTCCACAAGTGCACCCGCCTGTTTAAGCAGCACCCTGACCAAGGAGCAGAGCTTGACCGGCCCCCTCACGAGATGCCCCGTCTCAGTCACTGCCTCTCCCAGCGATCTCAGAGGTGAGAGCAAGTCATTAACAGACCTTCAGTTCTGGTCCCCAGTTGATTTATCCGTCGTTAAATGGGTCCCTCTCAGACACCGCAAAGGCGGGTCCTAGCGATGGGCTCACAGCCACACTGGAAGGCGGTTCTTGAAAGTAGTGGAGCCAATTTCCATGCGATGCCGACTTCTAGATTTCACCGACCCCTGCAGGAGTCTCCCCCTTCCCGTGCCCTGTCCAGGTCTGACCCAGCCTTTATGGAGCTGGCCAAGGACTCCTCCAGGAAGCCTTCCAGCATCTCGCCGACACAGCAAATGGTTTCCTCTTCTGAGCCTCTCTCTGCGGAAAGAACAAGGACATGCGCGGGCTGTGCAGTGTGCACCAGCCTGACAAACCCGGCGCCACCTTCCCCCATATACTGCGCGAGGGGAGCCACCCTTGGTGCCGGAACCCGCCAACGTCTCAAGGGAAACACTATGATGCCATGTGCCAGGATGGGCAGAGGCCATGTGATTAATGGATGGCATTTGCAGATGCGGCCACAGAGTCATCATGAAACTAGGCACCTTGGCATGACAACGCTGATCTCTTTACCAGAACATTCATTTTGAAATCCCCCATGAGTCATGGGCATAAGGACCATTAAATCGTTCTCTCTCCAGATCACTGCCCCAGCCCTATGCGGGGAGGCTGATGTATTTGAGGACAGTTGGGGTTTCTTGTTGCTTGACTGTTGTGTTTCTTACTGTCTCATTTCTTCTCTGGCTGCTCGGACCAGCACTGCCCCAACCCCCTTTAGTCTGGCTCCCTAGAATCTGATTCTCCCTTCTTTGCGAGGTTCCTAAATATCATCAATTCCTATTCTTTATGCACTTGGCACTTTCCTCACGCGGCTTCTTGGCTTTCTACCCATACTGGGCAGCCCCAGAATGTCGGCTTCCACGGGAAGTGGGGACATGGATGGAACACAGGAGTTAAAGTGTCTGGATGCGGGAGACGCTTCAGAGGGCGGGGCAGTTATCCTTAGACAGGATTTCTAGACCCAGCTCTGCCTTTGGGCGAAGGCGGGCCCGTCTTCAATTTCATAGTCAGGATGACGTGGAACTGGGTCTCCAGAATGTCTGATAGGATTTGGCCTGACGCATAAGCCTGGAGAAGCAGACAGGACCCCACGAGCATGGGAAAATCAGCACGGAATAGCCTGGTCTGTGCGTGCGCATGTGTGTGTGTATGTTAGAAGCTGACAGCCTCAGACAGGACCCCACGAGCATGGGAAAATCAGCACGAATAGCCTGGTCTGAGCGTGCGCATGTGTGTGTATGTTAGAAGCTGACAGCCCTGAGGCTGAGTCCAACTCTGCCATTTATCGGCTGTAAGACTTTGGGCGAGAACCTAACCTTTCGGCACGATGATTAACAACTCCTGCTTATCAGGACCAGTGTATCAGTATGCTCTGACTCAGACAAAAGTCCAGCACAGCTCTTGAACACGGTGACCATTCCTGGTTCTTGGGTTTAAGAAGATGCCCGAGTCTTCTACACTGAGCTATGTTTGAAAAAAACCCATATTCCTTCCTTATCATGAGTCACTGTCCCCAAATGTGTATTTTTTTTAAACTTCACCTTAAAATGTAATAGTTCAGATATTTTCACATAAATTGTTTAACCCTAAGTAATTTTTCACCCTAATTCTTTTTTATCATGGTAAAAGATCCATAACATAAAAGTGACCATTTCGACCATTTTTACGTGTACAGTTCAATGGCATTAACTACATCCGCATTGCTGGTGACCCTCACCACCAAACACTATACCCCTTAAACGACAACTCCCCACGGCCCGCCCCCAGCCCCTGGGAACCTCCACTCCACCTTCTGTCTCTATGACTCTGACTGCTCTAGGGACTTCAGGCAAGTGGAATCACACAGTATTTGTCCCTTTGTGCCTGGCTTATTTCACTTAGCAGAAAGCCCTCAAGTTTAGTATCTAGGTCGTAGCAGGTGTCAGAATTCCCAGGTGTATACATGTGGTCTCCAACTTTTGATGGTTTTGACTTACGATTTTTCAACTTTACAACAGTGTGACGGTGATACGCATTCAGTAGGAACCTTACTTTGAACTTTGAATTTTGATCCTCTCCCTGGCTAGTGATGCGCGGTGCGATGCTCCTGTTGGGCTGGGTGAGGGCAGAGAGATGATTTCATCCAGCTGTAGCTGACGTGAGTGTTCTGAGCCCGTTTACTGTGGTCTCTGCTAAGCTAACTGCGGGTTAGGTGGATTAAATGCATTTTCCACTTAATATTTTCAACTTACGATAGGTTTATCAGGACATGACCTCATCGTAAGTCGAGGAGCTTCTGTATTTTAAGGCTAATGCTTGCAGGGCTGGGGCTGATGAAGACCCGAGTCTGAGACTGTGCAGAAAGGGTAAACAGTGGAGGAAGCAGGAAGGTTGTGGCTTGGAGCATCTCTCGGCTTACAGTCTGTGCTGTGCGGTGGGAGGAGTCTTGCCCTGGGCACTGCCTTTTCAGGGCCTCTGTCCGTTCAGGAGGAATTTGTCCCTAGGGCCTGAGAGCAGGACCCAGGGCCAACCCAGATGTGTCTTTTAGTATCAATGACCTGTGAACAATCCTCCCTTAAGGGGTCACGCCTCAAGGTTTCTCAGTGAACTTTAGGAGGCAGAGACCATGGCCTGAAGTTTGTCCCCAAAAAGTGCTAAATCCAAAGGAGATTTTTACAGACAAAGCTCAGTGCCAGGGGAAGCTGTGCCAGCCTTTGTTTCTGCTGGCAAAGCCACGCAGAGAGGTCCCCCAACTTAGCAGCCAGCCTCCTCCCACTTTAGGTGACTTTGGGTGAATGTACTCGTCGTGGGTGGAGCAGATGTCTGTGCGCCCAGACAGTTGAGAGGAGCCAGGTATGATGGCAAGCACACAGGGCTGGACTTGGGAGACCTGGGTGGAGACTGGCTCCATCACAGATGATCTTCCTGGGCTCTAGGGCCGGGGTTACACGGACTGGTTCAAAAGGGTGGACCACACCCCTCAGATGCTTTGAAATGTTAGAAAATCAGCAGCGGAGGCCACCATTTTCTTCCTTTGAGGTGGCCCTTGGCCCAGGTGGTTTAGAGAGTGGCGTGGTAATGAATGCCACCAACAGCACTTCCATGACCTCGACCAGCTTGAGCCCAGATCACTTTTCCTGGCACGAGAGGGCAATGGTGGTAATCATGGGGTACCGAGGAGTCACTGGGTCCCAGCAGCTGTGCCAGGCTCCTCATGAGCATCGTCACCTTGACTCCTCTCAAATACTCGGGCAGGCACCTGTGGCTATTGTCCCCACTTGACAGAGGAGACTGAAGTTGATGGAGACTCAGTCCCATAACTGATGGCCGGTGGGGCCGGGACTGGAGCTTGGTCTGTCTAACTCCAGGGCCCAAGCTCAGGGACCTGAGGCATGCATGGCCGGGCGACGGACGAGCTGACCCGTGAGTTCTCCAAGTCAGACACCATCAGTGCCACTTCGTTGTGGCCCAGAGGGCTCATAAAGGCCAATCGCTCATCTCAAAGCTCTTCCTGACTCCTCCGGAGAGGAGTTCCATCTGGTGAGGTCCTGGCTAGTGGTCCTTCGAGTCAGAGTACCTCTCACGGGCTCCCTCCTGCTCACCCAGCAGCCTCCCCACCCAGCTGCAGAGATGGAGGAGAAACCCTTTCTCTCCTGGGCTGAAACTGTGTGTAACCTGCAGCTCTGCAAACTCACTTCTCAGGGGCAGCCCGCTAGCCTGTCCCACCTGCCCTGCCCGACGGAGGGCCGGTTCCAGAATCAACAGCGCTGTACTCCTGAAAGTATCGGCCTTCCTTTACTGACGCTGGATCTGTCCACTCCCAGAGACAGGCACCTAATAAACCAGAGACCGTCCTTCTAATAAATAATCATTGATTTGAATCAACTCATTTGCCTCTGCACGCCTCTCCCCTCCCGTAACTCCTAAGCACCCCTAAACCTATCTCTGGGGACCACTGACGTGCAGAGGACTCAGAGAAGCCCAGGAATTCCCAGATATTATGAAAACATATGGTCCCTGGGACAGGTCCACAGTCACCCCCAGCAGAGTCGGGACACATAGGCAGGGCCAGCGGTGTGTCCAGTCTTGCCAACACAGAGTGTGATGTGGACATCACTCTTGATTCATGGAAAAATAATCTAAAAGTGCCCTTGGCTGGTCTCCCACAGGATCTGCCTTGAGGGAATGACTTTGAGTTTCCGAAGGGACTTGGAAAAATTATCCTCCGTTGTCCCCATATGTGAAAAGTGACCATGTTATGAAGCGAGTTGTTTCTCACCCAGAGCCGGGGGTGTGTGTCTGTGCGTACGTGTCTGCTCGAGGGGAATCTGGTCTCTTCCCAGCCCTGACCTTCGGCCACGTGGAAACTCACTGGGGCTCTGCATCATCACCGACTGTCGCAGACCCGGTCGTGAAACCAGCCGCCGAAGCCACTTACCCACTCAGAACGGGCTCCCGAAGTGCCTTAGTTGGCCACTTATTCAAAAGGCAGCATGCGTAGAGGAGGCATCAGAAGTCCCGGGTTCAAGTCCTACCTGAGCCATTGTTTTTTCATCCGTAAAGTGGAGCCGATGATACTTGCCATAGGGAAGTTCGTGAGATTCAAGTGAGACACCGTGTCTCGAAATCCTCTGTAAAGTAACATAGGTTCATCGGGGATTTTTAATAAGCACTTGTTGGGCGCCGGCTATGTACAGGGCTCGGCAGTAGCCGGCAAGGGAAACAGAACCAGTGGTCTCATTGTGATCCCCAGAGTCGTCCCTCACAAAGGTCATCCAGCCGCTTCCCTCTTCCGTCCTCCTCCCCCATCCAGGGAGAACCAGGCGCCGTCTACGCCTGGCCGGTGAAAGCACTGGTCCTTCTGATGCGGCTTTCACTAGCCCTAGCTCCTTCTAGAAAGGAGTGTCCTGAAGGCCTTTTATTCCCCTTTGTGCCTCTGCTAAGCTTCCCCAAGAAGTGTTCCTTTCTGGAGCGAGATGTCGGACACAGCTTGATGTCACTCTTCCTTTGCCTACGTCTGCACGGCATCACCAAAGGTAAGCCCAACCCCTGTGAGTGTGTCCACGGGAAGGCTGGCTGTCGGGGACCCGCCCCACCAGATGTTTCCCAAGGAATCAGCTGAGCTCTGATATTGTCCACTTCCGAGCTGTGCGACTTTAGGAAAGTCACTGCCTTGTCTCAGTTTATTTGTCCATCACATGGCTATAAGCAGAGCTTCTGCGATGTGCGATGGGTGGGAGGGGCCTGTCGGCTTTGAAGGAGCACCCAGCTGCCAGAGGCTGCATTATTGCTGTCTCATCAAGTGCCCTGCTTCTCAGAGCAGCATCCCCTCTCGGTCACTCGTCTGCTGGTTCGGGAGAAAAGTCTGGGATTGTGTTCCAGACTTGAGCTCCCCCAACCTCATACTCTGGACCTCTGGACCCGGGGGTGAGGGGGGCGGGGAGTGACTTAGAAAGAAGAGGGAAATACTAGAGACTGTGTTTCGGGCAGCCCAGCGGGCCGCCCAGTGAGATCTTTGCATCTAAAAGGACATTTGAGAACTTTTTCAAAGCCATTTCCAGTTATCCAGATAAACCTAGCAGCTCTAAAACCCAGGGAGCCCAGACAGCTTTGTTCAAGTTGCTCCTAGACACTCCAAAGACACTGATTATCTGATCCCAACCTGCCCTCCTAGGGCAGCATTGCGGGGGTGGGGGGCAGGGAAGCTTTGGGGAGGTGCTCGTAATGTCCCGTTTGGGCCCCACACACCGTCTGGTTCCAGGGGCCCTACCGTTCTCAGCCTCTGACTTCCTCCTTTTCCTCTCTGTGAGTGAGATTTCCACGATTCTCTTAGGAATAAATCCATAAACCTGTTCCCTTTGTGTTTCTTCCAAGGCAAGGATCTGGAGGAGTTAAAGCACATTAACTTCTTCCCTGCATCCTGGCTGGTCCGGGTTAAAGCCAACCATTACCACGCAGTGAGTGGCCAGCTCAGCAAGGAAACAGTTAGCAAAACGTATTGCCTTTCTGACTTTGCTTTTTCCGGAGATGTGTTTTGCATTTGAAACCTCTGGGCCTTTGAGGTGGAGATATCTGGATTCTCCGCCAGGGCATGTGGGGCGAGCCAAGCCTGGGAAGGGGAGGAGGAAGGGGGCCCAGCCTTGGAAAGGCAGGTGCTTAGAGCATCTATCCTGTTGACCTGGAGAGTTAGATGGGGTCGGGGAGCACCAGCCACACTGCCCTTCCAGCCGAGTCCCCGTCAGACACAAATGTCACAGGCTTATTACTGAAACCATTTTTTTCATGCAGAGAAATTGAAAGAAACTCGTACCCTCAAACTCACCACCCACAGACAACCACTGCTAACATCTCATTGCATTTTATTGCCTTTCACCCTTTTCTTTTAAATACACTTAATTAAACGGGCTTCCTAACACCATTTTTAGTGGCTGCAAACTCTTCCACCAGGATAGTCTATGACCAATGCTACTTTGCCCTTCCTTCGTTGCAGAAAATTAAGAGTGTTTCTGATTGTTAGCTATTATGAATGACTGTATGGAGAACAAATTTGTACATCACGGTTTATTTTACTCTACATGGAATTATTTTCTTATAGAATATTTTCAAGAGTCGAAGATACTGGCCCAAATTATTCTTGATTTATGTTAACAAGTTTGGGACCAAATACTCTCCCCTGTGATAAATGAGAGTGCCTCATTTAGTGCGTGTCCAGCAACGTGGCCTTTCCACTTCAGATCACTTTTGTTCATTGAGAAGCGAACAACGGCATCTCATTTTTAATCATGCTTTCCTTTTATTACTGGTCACTAGGAATATTTTTCCATGTGGCGTTTCTCCCTTTGTGAATTGTCGGTGCAAACTGTTGTACTTTCATGTGTTTCCAGTTTTGCATTTTTAGTGATGAAGTAGGGCAGTGTTTGAGTTGTGACGATTTATGAGTCACCCGTTAAAATTCAATTCAGCTCAACAAATACCTCTTGTAATGGGCAAAGCACGGAGCTCAGCGGCCCCGCCGTCGATAAGGGCTCCGTGGAACCGGGCGTCTCTGCCACGGAACTCAGATCTGTGCTGTCACAGCACAGAGCGGGGCAGGGGGGGATGACCTCCGGAGCCGGACACCTCAGGAAGTCCCCACTGCCCTCTTCATGTCCGTCCGACCCTGCCCACTTCCTTCCTCTTGCCCCCCGTTGCCAATGTCACCCCCCTGAAATCCCAGCCCGCACGTGGAGCCCCCAGCTCTTGACTGCAAGGCTGTGATCATTCTCTGCCTCCCGGTCAGTGTGCTTCCCCAGGCAGTTCTCTTCTCTGAAAAGCATCCTCTGAGAGCAACGAGCATGGCACCTGGCACCACGGAGGATTTCAATAAACCCTGCAGACTGGCCGGATGGCCGAGAGTAGGGTCCCCAGACAGACTGCCTCTCGAGCACAGTGGGGTCGTGTGGATCAGTGGGCCGATGTGAGGGTGATGCCGGGGGTCAGGCTGCCAGTAAGCTGTGTGTGTTTCTCTTCAGCTGGAGAACGGGGGTGACATGACCTACTTGAACGACCTCGCCACCCAGGCCATGAGATTCGGGCTGATGTTCAACCAGGTACTGATCACGGGTTCTGAGCAAGGGGAAGAGCAGTCCCCACCTGCACTTGGCTAAGGACCTTCATAGGGTCACTTCTGGCAGGAAGGCCAGGGCAGAAGAGGTAGCCACAGGCATCTCTTCTCCACCCTAAGAAATGATCAAGACAGGGCCTAGGACTGGCCGCTCAGAAAGCTGATGCACACCTCCACGTTCTCCTCACTGTTCTGGTTTTCCGGGGATGGAGGCACTTCCCTGGGACACAGGACTTCCCATTCTAAAAGCAGGAAAGGCCTGGGCAAACTGGGGTGAGTGGGTCGTTCTTTTCCCCACAAACATCAAGAGATGCCCACTACCCGATGACAGAAACCACTCCAAGCCTGGGTTTGCGGTTACGAGGCTGAACCTACTCTGGGCGGCAGTTCCGATGAGCACCAGAACCAAAGCAGCAGTGGGCTGGGGAGCTCGGCCGCACGGCGTCTGGTGGTTTGGTCACCATGGGAGCGTCTGGGCTGGAGGCTGCCCCTGCCTTCCCTGTGATAGGCACAATTCTCTGAGAAATCACTGATTTCCTCCAATGTCTTTAAAGCCAGCCCAGTAGTGATTTCAAAAAGAATTCATGTTTCAGGGCCCTGGGACCCTGAATCTATCATCAGAGATTCTGCCTGGGTCAGGCCTGGATGGGCTGGGTCTACCCCCTTGCTTGCAGAGACAGACTGCAGACCACAGGGGCAGGACACTGGCAACGCCATGAGCATGGAGTGTCTCTTAGGCCTTTCACACTGGAGCAAAATGCTCTCCTTCCAAGTCTACGGGTGACAGGTCATCTAAGATTGTGCCTAACTCATTGTTTCCCCAAGATTGTCACTGAACGCTAAACTGTAGGACTTGTAAAGTCACTACAATTTGGCTTTTCCTATGCTTCCGAGTCTAAAATTGTTTTAAATCAGTTGCCAAATTAGTCGCTTTTGTTGTAACTAGAATTGATTTTGCCATGTCGTCCTGCTTTTGAATGCCAATGATTTTTTTCCCCTGTCACTTTGTTGTTTATCTTTCCCAATTTAGGAATATACGACTCATTCAAAAATGATTGCTATATATGGATTCTTCTTTGAGATAAAGGGAATCAAAAATGACACTACCTCTTATAGTTTTTACATGCAGGTAAGCAGGACAAAGCACAGGAGAGGTGTGTCTCTGAAACAGCCTTTTAGGTTCAGAGCTAATTCACACTAAATTAACAATGATTGGTTCATCATTAGTTAACGACTAATGTGGAACGTGTTGTAAGGCTGGTGCTAATCGTGCTCATAGATGTGATGTCACTTGATTTTTGTGAGGTTGCTGTGGTCAACCCGTTGATCAAATGAGAACCTCAAAACTCGGTGTCTTCTCGTTCACGTGGCCTCTCTCGGCAAAGTCAGGGTTAATTCTAGACCCTGACTCCACGTGTGGGGCTCAGTTCATCTTCAGTTTCTACACGATAGGTGATGCTTTGCAGATGGCCATTCTTCGTGGAGGCCACCGTTAGTGCCCACAGGGGAGAAGGAATGGTCTCGTTTAGAGTGGCAAAGCAGGGTGGCAGACAGGACATCAGAGAAGTCAGGAGGGTGAATGGCTCTGCCTCCGTGCTCCTGCTGGACTTTTAGAAGAGGCAGGAGGGGGCTGTGTTCAAGAGCGGAGAGCCTGAAGTCACACTGCCCAGTGAGCCGTACGATCTTGGCAAGCCCACGAATCTCCCTGTGTCCAGTTTCTTGACCTTCAAGATGGGGAAGGTAATAGGACCAACCTCACTGGATTCTCAGGCGTATTCATGAGTTAATTTGTGGGAAGGGCTCGAAACAGGGCCTGACACGTAAAGCTCTCCATAGTAATGACATTGACAATGACGACTATGATAACAGGCCACTGTGCTCCACTGAAGGTTTGCTATCTAAGTCTCAAGACTTCAAGCTCCTTGAGCAATCATTATTAATTTTTTATTATCATCACTAATCGCAGTACCTGGAACATAGGGGAAGTATGTTCATATCATGAATGGATCAATGAATAAATGCATAAGCGAAGAGACTTGAAGCTTAGGCCCCACTTTGCCACGCCCCCATTACGTGCCCTTGAGCAAGCCACGTCTCTTCCTTGGGTCAGTCCTTGGTCCTCAGTGACTAAACATTTCCCTACGTAATGGATTTTACTGGACGGAAGAGATGTTTTATGTAACGACACCAGTCGAAATGCTCTTATGAATACTACGTTAGTTTTAAAATTCTGGCAAAGCGATAGCGAAGACCTTCCAATTTAGTAAGCTTGATACAATGGCGTTTCTCTGGGTTGGCCAAACCCTAGTCCACTGGCCAGTGGTTTGCCTATGGTCAGGGATCAAATACCAACTGACTCAGCAACAGTGGCGCTCAGGACACGAGCCCTGGGGAAATGCTCCCTGCATAGTTTTACGGGAGGGTCGATGTGCCAGGGACCAGGTTTCGCTCACTCTGGGTCACTCCAGTGTCAGTTCCATCTAAGGTGGATTTGCCTGCCTTGCAGAGGATAAGGCACACCGACGTGGACTCCTCACTCCGCGAGCACGGCCTCATCAGCCTGCGGGCGGAACGCTTGGTCAAGTACGAGATCACAGCGCAGACCCTGGTGGGCGGCAGGTGGCAGGAGTTCAGGACAAACGAAATCATGCAGAAGTTTCGGTTGGTCAAGGCATCCTGCAAAAGCCACGTGAGTGTTTGTCTTCTCTCTTTCCGTACGGTTTTGCTTTCTCTCCCGGACCCCTTTTTGGGCACGCCTGGCTTCATTTCTCCGGTGACCTGCGGGAGAAGCTTGCTCAGCTTCCTAAGGATTATCACAGCCCCAAATAATGCTAAAGAGAAACCTCCTGGAATGGAAAGCCGGGGATACTGGAAGAGCTGTCCCGAATCAGACTGATGTGGGTCGCACCGGATGCTGGGTGTTTTCCAAAGGGAGAAAGGTTTGGTGGAGTGTGTTTGCTGCCACCACCTCCACTCTTGCCTGGACGCCACCCGTCACTTCTACCGAAACCCACAGCCCGACCCACCTGCCTCCGTGGGCCAGGCCGGCATCCAGGCGGATTCGGTACCTGGCCTGGCTCCTGATGGCTGCAATCCAAAAATTGCCGGAGAGCTTGTCTGTGGCCCTAGGAGGAACTCCTAGGCGGTCTGGGGCCTCCCGTGCTGCCCCGTGGGGAATGGGACTTGGCCTTCAACCAGAGGGTACTTCTCAGTCCTGGCCACACATCAGAAGGCCCTTTGCAAAGTCCCCAGGCCTATGTGCCAATCAGACAAACCAGATCTTTTGTGGTTGGGCCCAGGTATCAGTATTTTTTTTTTTTAAAGCTTCCCAAGTTATTCTTCAAAGTGTTAGAAATCAGAATAGCGGGCACCTTTGTAGAGGCGGGTGTAAGAAAGGCTGGGATATTGACCAGGACGGGATCTGAAGGAGAAGTCTGACGTCCCTGAAATGCTCTTTGACACGACCGGGGTGGGGGTCACGCCGGAGGGCTTACTTGTGAAAATTCATAAAGCGGTATCTGTAAGATGTGTGCACTTTATTATATTTAAGTTATACTTAAATATTTTTAAATTGAAAAAGATTTTATTTTAAAGACCATCCCTCGGTGATTCTGATGTGCAGCTGGAGAGAACAAACACCCTACATAACTGCTAGCCTCCCTCGTCCCTCTTCCCGAGGGCGGTTGTGTTTATCCTAAAAGTCCCATTTTGTTTTGTTTCATCTTTTAGGTCTTGAAAATCCAAACTGTGGGCAACCCGATCTACGTGAGTTTTTCATTCATCTTCCCAGGATCTTGACTATTTCCAGAAGAATCTATGAAATTTTTTCTTCTACTGGTCTATATAAAAAGAAATAAAATGGCATTAAGGGGACTACTCAAGTATTCAGATGACCTTCCTAGTTAGCGATGATCTCATTAGAACTTTTCCCCATTGTTCTAGTCCGTTCAGGACTAAGCCACTGGGTGGCTTATAAACAACAGAAATGTATTACTTACAGTTCTCTTACAGTTCTGGGGTCTGGAAGTCCAAGGTCAAGATGCTGGCGGATTCAGGGTGGTGTCTGGTGAGGGCCGTCTTCTTGCTGTGTCCGCACATGGTGGAATGGGCCAGGGGGCTTTCTGAGGCCTCTTTTACAAGGGCGCTAATCCCATTTGTGAGAGCGCCGCCCTCCCAATCTAATTCCCGTCACCTTCCGGGTTAGGATCAACGTGTGAATTCTGAGGGGACACATTCAGACCGTCCAACCCACATCTGTGCCTTTTGAGCATGGGAAGCACCAGAGCTGTGAGTCCATTTGCCGTCACCGACCCCAAAGCACCTTGAGTCCTGCCCTAACTTTTCATGCTCCTGGGGATTCTCCGATGGCAGCACCAGCAATAACAACACTCTACTTGGAGCATCACACACTCCTTTTTCATGATGTCTCTGCCAGCTGCGCAGAACAACACACCTGGATATTGTCCCTGGCAGTTTGAGCTCAGCCAGAACAATAGATGGGAAGGGAGCAGTTATAAAGTTCAGAGTGACTTACTTTACTTACCATTCTCCCTTTTTAAATGGAACCCTGTAGTTTGGGAAGAGTAAGATAAGCGTCTTTCTTTCTACTTTGGAGATTTGTTTTCCATTGCAGTGTGACAAAGTACCACAGTTCAGTGGCTGAAAGCAACACATATTTATTATTTCGTAATAGTTGTGGGTCAGGAGTCCCCCGTTCAGGGTCTCACAAGCCTACAGTCTAGCTGCAGCCAAGCTGAGTTCTCATCTGAAAACGTGACTGGGAGAACCCAGGTCCGAGCTCACGAGGTTTTCGTCAGGTCACTTCCTTGCAGCTGTCTGAGGACCTGGCTGCTTCCTGGCTGTTCGGAGAAGCTGTCCAGGTCCGAGAGGCCCCCTGCACTTCCCTGCTACATGGCTCTCTAGATAGACATTTCAAAGCATGGCTGTTTATTTCGAAGGCCGGCACCAGTCTCTCTCACTCCAGTCTGCTAAGAAAGAGTCTTGTAAGATAATCATGAGAGTGACATGCCATCACCCATAGTCTCTGGGCTAGAAGTAAGTCACATGTTCCACCCACACCCAAGGGGAGAGGAGTATACTAAGGGGTCACCTTAAGGTGTGTCCACCACAGTGTGCTATCCAGCGTCATTGGGAATTTGATGGAGCATCACTCTTCCCAGCAGAGGACCGATGCCCTGTGCAGAGTGACCTGGGGGAGAGAGAGAGACCGGGGGAAGGCAGCCCAGTGGGAGAACTGAAGCAAAGGAGCCGGGCGTTGGGTCTGTTATCAGACGCATCCTCGCCCCCGCCTGCAAGCCCTGTGCCATCTCGCTCACCAGCTCGCTTCTGGCCTGGTCCAGCCAATAGGGAGCGGTGACAAGTACTTAGAGGGCAGGAAACCAGGAGAAGCAGGGACTTTTCACCCTCTCAGCCACGAAGGGCATTTTCTAGCAGGGGCTGTGTCTCCTTCATGGCTCCAGATCACTCTGCCACCATAGCTTCTACCCCATAGCTTCCTGCTGTGTTTCCTGCACCTGTCAGATGGGCCTGCTTCTGATTTTTTGTCCGTGTGTCCCTCCAGCCCCCAGGGCTGCCTCGTTCTCCTCTATTGTCCTTCTTGGTTCTTCCTTCATCTGAGTAATCGGTTCTCTGTATTTATTTTGTTTGAAATCTCTAGAGTAGTTTCTGCTTTCTAGAGTTATTCCTGACATAAGGGGTTTTGATGAGCTTGCAGATGTGGCCCATTGGGGTAGATTGTTAGAAAATACGGCCTCAGTAATTCCATCCGAATGGCAGGGACTGGAGTGAGGCAAGCAAAGCATCCACCTTGGGTCAAAATACTCAATAATCCAGATCATACGATTTTAATGAAATATTTTTAAAAATCGAAAGCAACACAGAAAATCTATGATGTAGCTCAATGACTTACCGTAAGGTGAACATACTCAAATAACTAGCTCTCAGGTCAGAAACAGCACAGACCACACCGCAGACACCCCACTTTGTGCCCCCCAGTCACTACCCCCTGAAGGTAAGCGCTATCCTGACTTCCATCGCCCTCGCCCTTCACTAGTTCGGCCATTTAGTTTGAATATTTAATAAGCAAAGCCAGACAGCTCGGACTCTCATGCCTGTGCTCTTTCATTCTGCGTCATGTCGAAGAGATCCGGCCACGTTTGCACAGGGAGCTGCAGTGTGTTTTTGAGTACGCATGCTGGTTTCACTTTTTAAAAATGAAACGTCACTTCTATAAAATAACGCAGGCTCGTCAAAGGAGAATGAGCGAATACGAAGAGGAAAATACAATCTGCCGGGACTCCCACTACTCAGAGGTTTGGCAGGCGACTTTTGGGAATCACTTTTAGGTGCGTTCATGGTTTCCTTCCCACTCGAAACGGGATTATGCAGGGTTTGCTTCCTTGGAAGGTGACTTTTTTTTTTTTTTTCTTTTCTCAAGAGTTAACCGGGACGGCCTCTGTAATAGAGGAGCGTGGTATCTGGGGAAGAAAGCGTTGATATATTTGTCTCACCTCCAAATTGACAAATTGCGCAAAGTTCAAAGAATGAATTTTCTCTTACCCTCTGTGGATGTCGCTTCCTGTCCCTCTCGGGGCAGTGAGTACCGCAGGCCTTGCTGCGTGGGACAGACCAGCCCCTTGACGGACCAGCCGCTGTGCAGACATGCAGGGCTTGACGTCACTGGCTCTAGGAAAAGAGCAGCCTCGTGACATTTACCCCAGTCCCATGGGATGACAGGGAAGATAAGGACTAAAAACTTCTGAAAAACCAGTTTGAACACGTCCAAGAGAGATGAGGCCTTTGGGAAGCACCGCTGAAACATGAACGGTTGTGCTCTTTCTAAGTGGAAAGACTGGCCTAGCTTAGGTATTCGGAATATGCGCCCGGAGTTTGCAAGAGAGGCAGAGACATGCAGAGCGGTAGCGGAACTAAACTTACAAGGGTCCAAAAGCCCAAAGCTGGGGGCGTAGGAGGAAGGGATGAGGCAGGGGCCAGAGGGACTGGGCTGGGTCAAAGCTTTGCCTCCAGAATCCGTGTGTTTCCGTTTCCTTCTAAGACCCACTAAGAAGAGGGAAAACGTTTTAGGGTGCTTAATTCAAATATATCGAACACCTACTATACACTCAACAGAACTGTGCACTGAGCATCTGGGGTGCAGTGGGCCACACTGCGCAGGGGGTGTCACATGTGAAATCATTAGATTCCGACGGGGAGTTTGGACGGGGTGACAGTGGTCTCACTGAGGAGGTAACACATAGATGGGCCTTGGGGGAGGGGCAGAGTCCTCACAGGCGGAGGATTGGTGGCAAATGGCGCACAGGTGGAATTCAAACCGCAGAGAGCAGGCTCACCTCCAGCTTAGGCTCTGGGACTATGTTCACCAGAATCACGTGGGAGCTGGCGCCAAGGCAGGTCCCGGGGGCCCAGCTGCAAGGGGCTGATTCGCAGTGTGGGAGACACCTGGAAATCTGAAGCAGGAGGTCTGCGATTGCACCCAGAAAGGACTCAATCTGAAAACATCCATCCCACAGCAGAGCTCCCCACTGAACCCACACATCCGATTGTCTTCCTTAGTGACAAAAAAAAAAAATCCAACAATAACAAAAAACCCTCTGACTATCTCACCACACTGGCTGATTTCATTTTTGAAAACAAATTTCCTAGAATATGAAATAAATAGAACCTCGACGAGGCACTCTCCTGTGGGCGAACCATCCACTGTAACACGGGGAGGCCAGCCCTTCCCGCTAGGGGGCGCGCTCTGCCGCGAAAAACCCGAACCAGCATTTCGGTGGCAGAAAGGAGCGACATAAAAGGTCATCTTGCAGCAGGGGGTGGTCCTGCCGCCTCCTTGCTCACGTTTGAGAGAGAACTTTTGTACCTTCCAGGTGAGGCTGAGTTATTCGAACACTCACAGTGTCGACGTCACAAAAATCTCTGAAGTTGAGAAGCATAAGTTACAGGACAAAAATGCTAAGATCCTGACAAGCTCTTCTTACAAGTGAAAATGTCTTCGGCTAGAATTTAAAACCCTACAGTTAACAATGTCCAAAGCGGCAACCATGAGGGCTGGTCAGCATGACACCTTCTGTGCCACGTACATGACTTCTCCCTGTGTGCCCCTCCCATCACCCACCTCTCCCTCCAACCCAGATGGCCCAGAGCTCGTGCTGTGCACAGCGACTCTTGGGTCCTGAAGTGGGGCAGACAAGGGTTGGAGTCCTAGCTCTGCTCCCTACTGTGTGGTCTTAGGCAAGTCACCTAACCTCTTGAGCCTCCGAATCCAAACTGAAATCGGCAATAAAACCTATGATACATAGTAAATCAGCTGACATGCGATTATAAAGCACCTGAGGCATAGTAGGCGCCTCATACAATTTATTCTTGCTCCTCCCTTGCTGCTTGGCGTCCCTTAGTCCTTGAAGGTCAGGATAGATGCCGTGCAATCGTGGGAATTCTTCCCTTCTCTGGGCCTGCTTCCCTCTGTGCCAAACGGGCAGGCCAACCTGGGTACTCTTGGTAGACTTTCTAGCTACATCATTGAGTCCTCTAACTCCATGAGTGGAGAAGAACAGAAGCAAATGGTCAAAACTATGAGCCAGAAGGAGGAGAGAGAAGGGTGAAAAATGAACTATCTTGTTTTCCTACGGGCTCATCAGAGTGAGAATGAATTGGGAAGAGTGAGAGGTACTTTTTTTTCACCTCTCCTCTTTAGAGGGTTTTGCATCCGGGCAACTGGTGTGTCTATAGGACCAGAGAGGAGAGAGGAAGTTTTTGGC